GGCGTTCAACAGACAAAGTGCCTGCTCCTTTGCCCTAAGTGCATCATGGAAAGCCTCCGGGTATGACATTGTATGGCCAACCGATAGATAGCCGACTAAGTTTGTGCTGTTCTGAGTCGAAGCCATCGTTGTGAAGATGCCTGATGGCTGTTGAGAAGCGTTCGACATATGCAAAGCCGAACTGGCAATGATGGCTTGCAGTAACATGGGCTGCTGGTGCGCTATTGGAATCAGCTGGCGGAATGAATTGTGTTTTGGGGTGTCATAGAGAACGAAGTCCTTGCAGACAACATTTGCAACTGTCACCAAAGAATATCAGCCTCGAAAGCAGCCAAGAGGACAGAATCAACCTACAATAATCCAGATATCTCCTCGATCGACAATCTAGATCTTGCATAAGCGGGTCCGTGAGCGAACGAGGAGAATTTGATTCTGAACTTGTGAATGAGGGCAGTCTTGAAGACAATAAACGAGCCCGTGGTGCCTGTAGAGTGGCGGTCGCATCTCCATTCTGGATCTTGCTCATGTTGTCGGATGTAACACCAACCAATTTCCCACGACTTGCCAGGCCTTTCTCCCATCGCAACAGAACGCCATAGCCAAGACAGCTTTGACCTCTACTGGTGCATTTCAGGCACTGCGGAATGGAGCGGTCACATTTCAAGCGGCCGCGCCTACAATTGTGGCATGATCCTGGCCGTGCACCCATAGCTTGGCTGAGTAGGAGAAAGGCGATGCAAAGAATAGTGGTACGTGGTACTGAGAAACCCTGCCCTGCTGCATAAAGGGGTCGTTATGCGCTGCGCTGCGCTGTGACGAAATGAGGCATCAGTGAACGGTCAACCGATAAGATAAGGAGAGATAAGATAGGTAAGTGCCTATGACGCGTTGACTCACGTGGACCCGACAGCCAGGACAGGCCAAGAATTGAAGTCCGTTGCCATAAGTCAAACGTATTAAAGACGGTAAATTGGATATCGCCCGAAAATCATTTTATCAACACCGAACGTGTCTTCTGTTCGAGTATCGTGAAATGGCGGATGCGAATTATTTTACCTGTACGCTTGGTGAAGCTGCAAAATTGAAGCGAAAGGACGACAAGGCCAAAACATGGACGACAGTGGTGGAGTTGATAGATGATCAGGCTGAGCAGAATCCTGATGCACCGGCTTTGGGTTTCGCGACATTTACGCATTTGAAGTCTACACAAGGTGAGCATCAACCTTGATGGCAGATACGTGGCTAACATGGGGAGTGTTCCGTCATCTCCTTACCTTTCGACATCTCTCAGACACATCAAAACATGCTGCCCAGATACTTTCGACTCATCTGCCGAAGGAGCCCAAATCCTTGAAAATAGGCCTTCTATCATCAAGTAGCACAGAATTTGTTTTGACATGGCTTGGTTTGATTCGCCTGGGTTATACTGTTTTGCTTCTTGCGTAAGTCACTGGCCTCAAGGGATGCGCAAATCTGACCATGTTGCAGCCCTCAATTGCCACCACCAGCGGTTCAGCATCTTTGCGAGACTCTAGAAATTAGACATGTTTTTGTTGACGACATTTACGAGTACAGAGCTCGCGGGCTCTCCGACGACATCGAGATCATCAGATTACCTTCATATACAGAGGACTCACCAGCAGATAATAATTCGGAACAAACCCCCGGTGTTTCTGAAACAGCTTACATATGTCACACTTCGGGGACATCGTCAGGGCTACCCAAACCGATCCCCCAAACGCAGTTCGGGGTGATGGGGGCACTGTACAGCTTCCCTAGGAAGAACAAACCAGCAACCTTTTCCACAACTCCCCTCTACCACGGAGGATTTCCAGATTGTCTAAGAGCTTGGACCAGCGGTGCTTCGATATGGTTCTTCCCCGAGGGACAGGCTCCCATCACCGGCGCCAATATCATCAGAGCTATCGAGTTTGCACGCGCGCACAGCCCAATACCCGTCAAATACTTCTCGTCTGTTCCATATGTGCTTCAGATGCTGGCTGAAGAGTATGGAGGCATCGAAATTCTTCACACAATGGACCTCGTTGGTGTCGGTGGTGCTGCTCTCCCACCGACCATAGGCGACAAGCTCGTGGACGAAGGCGTGAATCTTCTCTCGCGCATGGGAAGTGCAGAATGCGGATTTCTGATGTCTTCGCATAGGGATTACGTCAAAGACAAGGACTGGCAATTCCTCCGGGCCGTTGATGATCCAAAGCTTATTGAATTCGAAAATCGCGAGAATGGACTCTCAGAACTTGTTGTGAAGCCCGGCTGGCCTTTCTTGATCAAGAAGAATCGCGAGGATGGATCATACGCGACCTCTGACCTTTTTGAACCACATCCATCGATCCCAAATGCGTGGCGGTATCACAGTAGAGCTGATGCACAGATCACTCTTGCGAATGGAAAGAAGTTTGATCCTTCGCCTATCGAGGGGACCATACTGGCCTCTTCAAAACTGCTGCAGGATGTTCTCATCTTTGGAAGTGGAAGAGACTACGCTGGGGCACTTTTGTTCCCTTCTTCGAGCGACATCAGTGCGGATGAACTGATCGATTCAGTCTGGCCACATATCGATAAGTTGAACGCGGATAGTCAAACCCATACTCGAATTAACAAGACAATGCTGGTAGTTGTCCCCGTCAAGGAGGGGCAGAAGCCGCTGGAGAAGAGTAGCAAGGGGACTATTCTTCGTCGGCAAGCTGAAGAGAAGTACTCAGGTGAGATTGAAGGGGCTTACAGCAACACATCATCTTCGACGAAAGTTCCTCAAGAGGGGCTTCAAAAGGCGGTTCAAGATTGCTTCGAGAAGGTCCTCGGCCGGCAAGTCGAACCAGATCAAGACTTGTATCGTCAGGGCGTCGACTCGATCTCCTGCATACAAATCCGAAAGTTGCTCGAACAGACTTGTCTATCATCTGAATCTGAGGATGGCCGGCTTCCTCTGAACGTCATCTACGATCAAGGTACCGTCAATTCACTTGTTGAGTATTTGGAAAGAGCGAATTCAGACGGTAACGAACCGGACGTCGACCCCGATGAGTCAGAACTCAGCCTCATGCAAGCTCTTGCTGAGAAGTACAGCAAATTTGATCCAGCCTCGCATGATACCAGCAGTATAATTGAATCAGGAGCATCTTCTTCAAGTAGTGGTGCCAAAACTCAAGCACTGCAAAACCGCGAAGCATTGGAGGAAAAGAAACGGCTGGCCCAGATGGCTATGAAGATCGTCCAAGACCCTAATGATCGCCCCACGCGCGTGGTCCTCACCGGCGCGACTGGGTTCCTTGGGGCGCATATCCTTCACCTTCTCCGTGATGACCCAAAGGTTGACAGGATCTACTGTCTGCTCCGAGCCGATGGTCCATTCGCGGCCCAGAAACGAGTCTCTGAGGGCCTCTTCCAGCGATTTCTGCCACCTCTAGAATCACGCCAGGGTAAAGTCGTCTGTCTTCCCTGCGATTTAACACAAAGAGACCTTGGACTCTCCGAAGAGCAGCTTCGGGAGATTTCGACGAGTGCTACGAAGATCATTCACTCAGCTTGGGCGGTCAACTTTAGTCTTCGACTCAACTCTTTCGAGGATCAAATCTCGAGTACTAAGAATTTGATCAACCTCGCTGTGGAGGCTGATGCACAATTCATTTTTGTCAGCTCCATTGCAGCGGTGAGCGACTCTACTGCTCGACTGATTCCTGAAAAGCTCTCCCAGGATCCTAAACAGGCTTCACCACTGGGCTACTCACGCTCCAAGTGGGTGGCAGAACAGATTTGTGATGCAGCGAACAAGAAACACGACTCTCCTTTGGCCTCAATTGTTCGGGTCGGTCAACTTTGCAGCAATGAAACTGGAGTCTGGAATACCACTGAGGCATATCCTCTACTGCTCTCAACATCTAGGATCACAGGATGTCTGCCTGATCTTCCAAAAGAAATGCTCAATTGGCTTCCAGTCGAGCAGGCTGCCCAAGCCGTCGTCGAGATTGCATCTCCAACCTCCAATGGTTCGGGGACACCTGTCTTCCATGTCTTGAACCCACATACTACGCCGACCTGGAAAGACATGCTGGGCTGGTTAGCTGCCAGTAACGAGGGTCCCGAATTTGAGATCGTCTCATCGTCGGAATGGCTTGAGCGATTGGAGAAGGCGTTGAGCGACGACAGTGCCAATCATCCGTCACAAGCTCTCCTAGGTCTCTGGAAGCAGTCATATTCCAAGGACATTAACAATGGCAGTTCAAGGGAAGATCAGCAGAGTTCCTTTTTTGATGTTGCTCAAACACAGAAGGTCTCTGCTTTAATACGGGACGTTAAGCCACTGACTCGCGAGAGACTGATCAAGACTTGGAAGTGGGTGAACGAGAACATTAAGGGCTGAGCGTTCTTTACCATTTTGAATGCTAGATAGCAGAATTGAATATCAGCAATAAACAAATCAAACTGCATGCCTGGAGAGTATAAGGCAGGTAGCCCATCCATCAAGAATTTTGCAAACCTGACTTAAGTGCGAGGTGCCAAAAGTAACTAGTTTAAGGTCAACCACGCTGACACAAGATTTGCTCAGATTATTTTGTCATCTTGCAGAGACGTCCTCCAAGTGGCACCATCGGCGAGTTGTCTGGCTCATGATTCGCTACGTCCCTTGGCCCGCTGATCTCGCCAGTCACGACGATGGAATGTCTCCGACGACGATATTACCATCCACGATATGTTCGAACTCTTCGTCCACTTCGAACTGTTAAGCAATTTCCCTCAAAAATCTCACCGACATAAATCTCTCCGCGATGACACTAACTTCCGTCACCAAGTCAAACATCGCGAGCCCCGCTCGGCGGTCAGCCTGCGAAGGCTGTAGTACGTCACATACTCTCATTCTGTACCAGTGATGAAGCCTAACAGGTTTAGGGCAAAGAAAGTCAAGATGCGATGGTGGAAAACCTTCATGTCGAAGATGCTCTAGCTTAGGCCTTGACTGTCACTACTCGGTCAAGAAACAGATGGGCAGACCTGCAAAACGTCGACAAGCTTTGGCTGCAGCACTCCCTTGTCCAGCTGTTCAAGATGACACGCCCTTCTTGTCCCTTTTATCACCTCAATCAATGGTCGAAACTCTCAGTCATGTTGACTGGAACGCCTGTGCAGATCCAAGCTTCATGCCTGACTTGAGCTCTGAGATACTGAGCGAACTTCAGCTTGAGTTGGGCAAAGTTGCCGACTGCTCACGTCCGGCGCAAGAACTCCCATCGAGCTCCACTACTACTCCGCCGCTTGATTCCTCAACTTCAAATGCTACTTCGGCAGCTACAGTGTCGCCCATCCCGCAAACATCGTCACGGTCATGTTCTTGTCTAGCAACTTTCTATCTCGCAGTAGATGATCTCTGCAAGAACGAAAGGCTCTCCTTTCCGTCAGGCCTTCCTTTTCTTCGCAAAACGATCTCTACTGCCAGCCAAATTGCTCATTGCGAGATCTGTCCAACCAGCCATCTCTCTGCCATGCAGAATATTCAACTTCTGGGAACTCTTCTCATGTCAGTGGGGCAGCAATACGGGGTCATTCTGGAGTCCATAGACAAAGATGCCAAGACATCAAAAGAGAAAGATGAGCTGAAGTGTCTCCAGTTCAGCGAAGTCGGTGTTCAGTATTCTGAAGAGGCTCCAAGTTACAGCCTAGGACTAAGCCCTGCGGATTGGGCGGAACTGGCCAAAAAAGCTGTGAAAGCTGAGGTTTATGGAAACGGGAGGGAGGAAGAGTGTTTGTGGAGTGTCTTAAACTATCTTGAAAAACGGCAGGCTCAGTGGCATGCAGTGCCGCCGCATCAAGATTGTCCTCACCAGTACCACCAGTTGGAAGAGGAGCCATTTTGCATAAAGATACTTCACAAGGCGAAAGAGTCAATAGAGGCTCTAAAGTGGAAGTGTCGTGAACTCTATGGTCCGGATAAACCTGATGCTGGTTCAGTTTCCCTTCTCTAACGCACCTGAATAATCAGTCGCCCTACGGCGATTTTACTTTCTTTCATGGAAGCTCTCTGATATTCTCATTCTCGATCTCACGTTGGTTTGATTACGTGGTCGTCCCATAGGAAGGCAGTTGGTGCTGAGATCGAGAAGCATGAGCAGGCATTGCAAGAATACATCCTTCAGCCTGAATCAGCTTCCATCATTGGTTGTCAATAGCTTATCTAAAGGGGTTATGTGAAGCCTATAAGCTGGTTAATGGCGTCAGATCTGGTTGCCTAAACCTCATTTTCCGTAATCTGTAAACATAATGGATGAGTCTCACATCATCACATGAAGCGCTAAGATTCCTCCGTCAGAAAGTCGACGCTTGGTATCTAGCACCGACTCCCTATAGGTCTTATGTAGCCCAATGATAGAGTCAGAAACTGTCCATCCGAGTCAAAATTATCCGCTTATCTCTGCTGGCGGCCCAACGTATATAGCCTTCCCGCATTCCGTCTCCATTTCTCCTCCATTTCTTCTCCATTCTCCACCGAATATGACTTTAGCTTGAGCCTAAACATCCTGTCCAAAGATGCCTCAATTCGTCAGCACACAGTGCCTCGAGCCTCATTTCCTTCGCAATGTCCTAGATGTTCTGATCATTGGGACGCGGACGCCTGGTCTCTCTGCGGCCATGGCTCTTGGTCGTGCGCGAAGGAGTGCCATCGTTTTCGATGTCGACGATTGTGGAGGCAGACTCCATGAGACTTCAAGCCAAAGGATCTCAAAATCGGTCCAGGAAGAGACTGTAGCTGAGATCAAAGCCAAATTCAAGACAATCATGTTTGGCCGCGCAACAGCTGCGTCTGTTCGCAAGAAGGGCATGATCTTCGAAGTGGAAGACGTTACAGGTCAGTGTTGGAAGGGAAGAAAGGTGATATTGGCCATGGCTAGCCGCGATAGTCTTCCAGATATCCCAGGATACGAAGAAGCTTGGGGGAAGAACATGTAAGCCCCATCTTGGAGGATTATAAAACCACCGAATTTTGACTCATTGGACAGTTTCGATGTTTCGCAATGCCTCGATATTAGTAAAAGGGCTACTCCGCATGCTGCTGTGCTCGTCACATCCGACTCTTCGAGTTCTATTGAGGCAGCGGTGCTGTCGGCTCATCTCACCCGGCAGTTCAGTCCCGATATAACATTCCTTACCAACGGCCTTTCACATGTTGAGTACCATCCGCACATAATAGGGGCAAACAACGCTGGCTTCAAAATAGATAACAGGCCCATCACATCATTGGAGAGTTCGAAAACTTCGGTCGTTGTCCAGTTCGCCGATGGGGCAGAATCAGTGTACGGCTTGCTTGCGCATAAGCCCAGAACGGTTATCAACGGGCCCTTTTCAGAACAATTAGATCTGGAAATGACATCTGAAGGGAGAATTTTAGTAGAAAATGAGTTTCAAGAGACAAGCACGCGTGGGATTTTCGCGGTTGGTGACAGTGCCAGCTTTCTCAACGAAGAGAGCGCTGGGGCTAGTGCTGGATGGGTGGCTGGGGTTGGTGCAAACTTGCAAATTGCCGAGGATGATATGATTATGTAGTTTAGATTTGTCTCGAATATAGGAGGAAGCACATTAGAAGAAGTCGCCGATTCTTTCGACTGGTATATGGTGATCCATGTTGACACCTGTTTACGATCCCCGTCATCGGGGACTAGATTTTGGTCGCCGAACGCTTGTGAACAACAGGCCTCATATCATAGCCGAGGCCAAATACTGACATGATTATGCATATTCAAGTATTAGACGCCGATGTACATGTTTCATGGACAGAAATGCTAGATTATGCAATTGGTAGGCATTGCGTTTCATTAATGTTACCTAGTTTAGGGTAATTCGGCTTGTTGCAGTGTCATGCTACCCTTCCGTTGTGTACATAGGTATATAGAATAAACTTGGAACCTTCGGGAAGGGTAGTTAGTGTCTGGTGAGTTTAGGGTTCATCACACATTGTTTTACCAATTATTCTACGTGATCTTTATCCCCTGAATTCCATATGAAGCTTTAAGGCTCGCCCCACGATTGAGTTCTGGTGTCTCGGAACGCAGAAGCAGGACCCATCTCATTTTCATTGCCGATATATGTCTATGGCAATTGAAGCCCCCCCTATACGGAGTAATATCCAATCATGCTATTAGTCTTCAGCTGTCGCAGCTTCTGACCGGAAGTCGCCGTTCCAAAGAGCGCAGTTGGGACATCGGGCTCTAATTTCGGACCATCGGCGGCAATCACTTTATCCCTGAATCACGCAATTGAAACTTATCCTCGGCTGGTTAGTTCCCGTCCCGGACAAACAATAACCCGCCCCTATCAGAACCCAAAACAGAAAAGCGCTGCACGCTAGTGGGTACGTACAGTACGTCACTTCAATTGTACTTTTTCTGGCGTGTTCACTCTTGAGCTTGAGCTTTTTCTCGCATTCGACTTCACTCTCTTCCTTTTGAAGAAAAACACAAAAACTCAAAATGCTTTCAAGTCGCGTGACACTGGCAGTTCGATCTGCGGCCCTTGGCCAGTCTCGGAGGGGTCTCGCTACCGCTGCGGCCGTGACAGCTGCTAACCGAAGTCACAAGGTCGTCGTTATTGGAGGAGGCTCTGCTGGTCTCGCGATCAGCCATCAACTTCTCCGAAGCGGCCGATTCGCCAGTGAGGACATCGCTGTTGTCGACCCTGCTCAGTGGCATCATTACCAGCCTGGATGGACACTCGTCGGTGCTGGACTCAAGACCAAGGAGGAATTGAAGATATCCATGCCTGAGCTCATCGACCCCAAGCTCAAGTTCTACAACGTCAGCGTCGATGCTCTCACTCCTGAGGACAACAGCATCACTCTTGGAACTGGCGACAAGGTCAACTATGAGCACCTCGTTGTTGCACCTGGCATCAAGATCAACTACGACAGCATCAAGGGCCTCCCCGAAGCTCTCGCCGAGCGCAACGGTCCTGTCTCTTCCATCTACGGCTACGACTACTGCGACAAGGTCTTCCCCAACATTCAGCGCCTCCAGAAGGGTAACGCCATCTTCACCCAACCCGCCGGCGTCATCAAGTGCGCCGGTGCTCCCCAGAAGTCCATGTGGCTTGCCCTCGACCACTGGAAGCAGACCGGCCTTTATGACCCCAAGAACCCCTCCGGCTCTCCTATCAAGATCACCTTCGCCACCGGTCTTCCCGTCATGTTCGGTGTTCCCAAGTACAGCGCCGAGCTAGAGAAGCTGCGACAAGAGCGTGGTGTCGAGGGTCTTTTCCAGCATGATCTTGTTGCGATTGAGGGCAACAACGCTGTCTTTGCCAACGGTCAGGACAAGGTCACTAAGCCGTTTGACTTCCTGCACGTCGTTCCCAAGATGGGACCTCATGCATTCGTCAAGAAGAGCGCTCTTGCAAACGAGGCTGGCTACGTTGACGTCAACGACAACACCCTCCGCCACAACAAGTTCGCCAACGTCTGGTCTGCAGGCGATGCTTCAAGCCTTCCTACCTCCAAGACCGCCGCCGCCGTAACCTCCGAGGCGCCCGTTCTCGTCAGCAACCTCCTCCGCGCCATCGATGGCCAAGAGCCCGAGCCTGCCTATGATGGCTACACCTCATGCCCCCTCCTCACAGAATACGGCAAGGTGATGCTGGCCGAGTTTAAGTATGGTGGCGTTCCAAAGGAGACTTTCGGAGATATTCTCGGGATCGACCAAGCCGTTCCCCGCCGCTCGTTCTACCACTTGAAGAAGGACTTCTTCCCCTGGGTTTATAAGAACTACATGGTCAAGGGAACATGGGGAGGACCCAAAGGCTGGATTAAATAGACAAAAGTTTGAACTTGCTGTATGTTAGACTTGTACCATTTGGGAGATTGTATACCCACGGAGGAACTGGAATAAAAGCTGCAAAATAATGACACCAACGACGCATGGCTTGGCCGCTGTGATGACGGTTTGTTCGTTCTTGGCTAATCGACAGACATGGTGGCATCGAGCCCTCGGCCAAACACGAGAGAAGCTCAATCGCTCTAACTAGAGCGCCATCCTCATTTTGGGAAACTCGTCCTGCCCCGGACGGTACACACTCAAAATAAAGTCTCGCCTCCCCGGTATCGACAAGCATATTGACTTCTGTTCACAGTATTCTTTTGGCTCCCAGCCGCCCAGCTTTCCCACGCCCCGAATGTCGTACAATCTCTCACCACACGCTGCTGTAAGCCGTGAGTCCTATTTATGGACCAAAAGGGCAGACTTTCGTCTTGACACTAAAGCGCGCAAACTTTACCGCGAAATTGTATGCTTGGATCACAGTCTCCAGAATCTCAGGCCTCAACTAGACATCAACACACGCGATCTCGAGAAAATAGGCTTCTACAGCACAAAAGCCAAACTCAGCTGGTTCGGATCGCTGCGTCGACGAATAAACGAGCGGTTGGATCAACAGAAACAACGCGATCGTCAAATTGATCAGATACGCACCCAACTCCTAGTAGTCCAGATTCCATTGGATAAGAAGAAAATAGCCAGGAGAGAGGCGAGGCTAGCCAAGCTTCGGGCAAAATTTGAACCGAGGATCCAGTGGAAGAGTCAGGAGGCTCAGCAGGATTACCAGAAATGGATCATTGAAGCGAGGAGACGCGAATATGCGATGAGAAAATGGAAGATGGAGCAGAAGAAGAGAGACAGGGAAAAGTGGGAGGATGAATGGGAGGGCAAGTGGCAGGAGTTTCTATTGAGCAACGGAGCCAAGACAAAGGTTTCCAGAGGACACCCTGAACTGTGGGGTTCTTTGCTTCTGTAGATGGATTTCTATGGCTCGCGGTTCTGGCGGTTTGGTGCAATTGGAGGTTGTTTGGTGTTTATCGACAGACATGGAAGCACAACATCACGATAAGATTTTGGAGGATTAATGTGATATGACTGGGAAACAGCTTTGATTGTTCTGATTCTGAATTTCTCATTTATTTGCTTCTTACTTTTTTCTTTATTTCTTCACCCCTTTTTGCTCCTATTTTGCATGGCCATCTTTGCCTCTCGAGTCGACCATGGGATAACGACTTTCATTATCGCAGGATTCCCGTTATCCTTTGTCTACTCATGAAAATCGGATACTATGTCTACGATGATGGACTAAGCCTGGGGTTGATTTGGTTCGTTTTCATAATGTTTAATATCTCAACTGAGGTTTATATCACAATCTTTTTAACCCTCAATATCCCCCCAACGAGTCACTGACCTCACCTCAAGAACCTCAGGAGGGGGCGAGATGAACTTCCTTTGATATGAAAAGCCGTGTGTTCGTCGACGCGTGATTTCGTATTGCATAACATCTCCCTCGTCGGACCTCCGCTGAGTCAATAATACAAAGAGGAGGCCAGAGAGGAATAATGTGGATAAAGGCTTGTTAGGTGTAACCTACAAGACCCGAGCCAAACATGCTAAACGCGGTGCTAGAGTGTAAGTCTATGAGAGGTAGAATCGCAAGATTTACATTGAAACTTTGGGCAGATCAGGCAGTGCGAAATATGATAGGCTTTCACGCTTTGTGCCGCAGTGAGGGGTACGCGTATAAAGTTTACTTTGGACTTGAAACAGACAAGTGGCTTAAGTCGAGTAATAAAATTGTGTCAATTTGTATTCTTTGCATTTGTGTTGGGGCTGAAGCCTCTTTCTATCTCTCAACCTTATCACAGGTAGGGCTTGTAGAAGCACAAACTCGGTCGAGTTCTTTAAGTACCTGGAGAGCCCAGAGAGCCCACCACTACCCCTCACTACTAAAGATTTTCTACGGCTTCAGAATCACTCACTCATGATGGACTTTATTGACTACTACGAAATATTGAATCTGCATCACACAGCAGATGAGAATGAGATCAAGACGGCTTATCGGCAACTGGCTAAGACGACACATCCAGATAAGAATCAAGAGAATAACCAAGCCACTCAGAATTTTCAAAAGGTTAGTATTGGTCAACTTACCTAGCGTTTATACTAAGTAATTGGAAGCTCAACGAAGCATACTCTACACTATCAGACACACGAAAACGTCGAGTTTATGATCTAAAGTACGAACGGCAAACAGGATCATATGCACCTCAGTTTTCCAGCATACATAGAACAAACACATCCACGAATGAGAATACTGCACCTAACCCCGGGTTCAGTGACACGCATTTCGAGGGGCCAGTCCAAAATGACCCACGGGAAAAACTGCTCTTGAAGATATGGGAAGCGGATGGGTTCATTGAGCAGTTCAAATCTTGTGCAAAAAGCACCGAGAAGAAAGCAAGACGCCAGAGGCGAATGGTAGAGGAGAAAAAAGAGGTCCTACAATTTGTCGAAGAAAAAATCTCAAGTGCGGAGGTCGAAATGAAAAGAAAATATGAATACGGGGCTGGGCCGTCAAATTTGGAACGTACAAGAGAATACCGTCGGATTCGAATGCAAATGGACTACAAGACTCGTATAGAGGCTGAGCTCAAGGAGGAAGGAGAAAAGCTTGCGCTTCTCGAAAGGCAGCTTCAGGAGTTTAGCAGTCGACTCTCTTACTGGAAACAGAAGAGGGAT